GCCCCCCCCCCCCCCCCTCCCCCTCCCGGTTGCACGTCCCCAGAGAAGGCGAAAAGAAAAAAAGTGCGCCAAGCAGGTGGCGTGATACAGGGTTCCCCCGACATCCGGGGCAGAATCGGAAACGCAGGCAGGTGTCTCACGGCCAAGCTATCTGCTCCGCGCAGCGACCTCACCCGCCGAGCTGTCGCAGAATACAGCAGTGTTGAGGAGTGTTGAGAGTGCCGCCACTACAAAAAAAAAAAAAAACGACGGCACCGACGGCGGGGGCTGTCGTTCGATCACCAGCAAAAGGAGGAGGGGGGCGAGCGAACTAATTTGCGGTTGCATCGCTGACCGCTTTCATTATCCTATCCGCGGTTCCTCCCCCACGAGGCCTGTGGCATCAACAACCGCCTCTTCTTCTTCTTCTGCCTCCTCCTCCTCCCCTTCCCTCTGCATCAGCAGGGCGCTCCCCCCCACCCGGCCTCCTCCTCCTCCTCCTCCTCCTCGTCGTCGGCGTCCTCCTCTTCCCCTCCCGCCTGCCACCGCTGCTGCTGCTGCCGCTCCTGCTTGGACGGGTTGGCGGTGCCGGCGGCCACTCCCGCCCCGGCGCCGCTTACCCAGGAGCCTCATCGCAAGCATCGTGGCCGCAACGACGACGACCGACACCGCTAGCGGAGCTCCGATCTCCAACGCGAGGTCCGACGCCCCCATCATCCAGAGGCCCAGCAACGCCGGGGCGGACCCCGACCGTCGGTAGAGCTCGCGCGCCAGAGCCGGGTCGGCCTCGACGCCTACTCCGTGCTGTAGCGTGTGGGCGCCCGGCGGGCGGCGAATGAAAAAACATACAAACGGTGGGGAAGGGGGGTTACTTAACAGCGGCGAGGTGGCGGAGAGATTAACAAAGTCACACGCGAACGGAGGGGGGTTAATAAACACGGCATTTGCTGGTGTTGAGACCAACCATCCTACGTACGGTCGTCGTTTGTCGGGCATCAAGTCCTACGGGGAGCAAAGACGGAGAAGGAGAGTTGTTGGATAGGGTTGGGTTGTCGTAGATGGACCCGTCCCGTGCGTCTTGCGGTACGTGTTTCCCGGCAACGGAGTCATTCCAGAAACTTTCGAGTTGACCTTGTGATCGAGAAGGAGCAAGTGGGCCTTCAGCACGACCTCCGCCGCTGCAAAACACCAACCAGCAACTTGCTCATGGCCTCAACACATCAACCGCACGCCGGCATACCTACCTAGCGCCACGGAGAGACGGGAGTGCCCAACACAACGGCTAAAAAGCACCCGACGCCTTGACACGGAGAACAAGGCCCCCGCCACCACGCAACATGAAAAAAGTTAAGCAAAGAAACGAAAAAAGTGAACAAAAAATATTTATATGTTAAAAAACAAACCAACATATGAACGCGGTGGTGGTCGTGAGTGAAGGAATGGCAATGGCAATACACCTAACCTGGTGCATCCAACCCAGCGAAAACAAGCCCCGTTGGCTGGGACTACTGCCGCCCAGGCCTCCCTCCCCCCGCCCCCCCTCCGCCGCAAGCCTGTAGTACGCCACCGCGTCCGACAGCAGCTGCGCCGCGTCGCTCTCCCGCGCTAGCCGCTCGTCCTCGCTCTCGCGCCCGTAGCCGCCGCCGCCGCCGCCCGTAGTCGCTCCGATTCCCCCTTGACCAATCGGTTTGAGACGCTTCTTCTTCCTCTGCTGATGGTTGTTCTCGTCGTCACTGGCTTTGTTTTTGTTGTCATCGCCGTTGTCATCGTCGTCGTCGTCGTTGTTGTTGTTGTTGTTGTTGTTGGTGGTGGTGGTGGTAGTAGTTCGGGCCCATGCGGGCAACCAACCGGTGCCCGGCGCGACGGCCCCCATGTCCTTCGCCTGCCGATACAGGTGGTCCGCTATGTCGCACCTTTTCGCCAAGTCGCGAAAAATAAAACGCGTGCGTGCGTGCGCGATTGATACATGAGAGAGAAGGGTAGACGAAGGCGTGTTGGTGTTCTCACGTGATAGTTGGCGCCTCGTCATGCCATACTACTACGCGAGATAAGACCCCCCTTTTTGATTAACATTTTGGGCTTCCCAAAAAAAGCATACAACCGGGCGTGATATTGTGTGCGGAGGAATTGGTGGGTATCTTGTATCGCCCCACTGCGCCCATGTTCACCCATAAAAACATTCCCAATGGGTGTGGTACTGCGTGAGGGGTATGATGTGATGTCTTGTGTCGTATCTGCAACACAGCAGCAGTGTCGGTGCCTTCTGGCTGTTGAAACTCCCCCGGGGGACATGCAACGCTCGGCAAAAACTCTCCCGTCCGTTGTCTACCTTGCAGATAAATAAAAGTGCTGTCGGCACGCAAGCTACTTCAAGCTCAACTTTCAAGGATAATTCTAGCCGGGGAACCAAACACCACAAAGGTAACAGCATGTGCATACGACCGCCAGAGTAAAAAGGATGCCCGCATACCGCTACACTCACCTCGCTTCTGAGTCCCCCTGCTCAGCGGCGAGCCTACGGTAACGGCGCGCCATGGCTTCGGGGTCCCCGCCCATCTGGCGGACGGCGTCGGCAACGCCGCCAACACCGCTTCTCCTCCTCCTCCTCCCCCTCCTCATCCCACTCCCGCTACCGGTCGCACTGCCACCGCCGCTTCCTCCTTCGTCAGGCCAACCGCTTGCGTCTTCGACGCGCTCATCGCCACCGCTTGGCCCGATATCGCCACCACCGCCGCCACCGCCGCCGCCGCCGCCGCCGCCGCCGTCGCCAACAAGGCTATCCCAGGCCCGACGCACCAGCGACGAGGGCCAGGAAGTGCCCGGGGCGGCGGCGGCCATGCTCCTGTCCAGCAGCCACGCCAACGAGGCCTGTCCTTCCTTGTTGCCTTGTTCGGCGGCGATGAGGTAGTGTACGAACGCCTCTTGGTACTGGAAAACCGGAGAACCATGGGGGGGGGGAGGGGGGGGTAATGCAACGGGTTAACAGGGAGGAAGGCTCTCTCTCTGCCTTAGATATTATACCGTTGCAAATACGTACCGTAGAGCGCGACGCAGCATGCAAGACGGGTGGGGGGTCTTTCGAAACAGGTTGCGCTGAACCGCGGTCTGTTGGTGCTGCTGATGGTCGGTCTCATTGGCACCTCATAACATAGTATGAGTGATCGTGAGATTATGAGGGTGCATAGGGCTAACACGCCTAAAAACAATATGTACGCGCTGTGCTGAAATAAAAATCGATGTTTTGGCACCCCACTCTCGCGCATACAGCGCCTTGGCAGACGGGACTCACATACCACGCCCACAAAGACCATTCTTGACAATAAACACGCCCTGTTAGAAATAGATAACAACAGCACAGCAGCAGCAGCAGCAGCAGCAGCAGCAGTGGCGTTGTCCCAAACGACAAGATACGTGGAATACCCGTCGTGCACCGCACTCCTGCCTGCCACTACCCGTGCTGGCCTGACGCTGCCAGCCTCTTCGGCCTCACCTGACCCTGCTCGAACGTCAGCCTGCCGTGCGCCAACGCTCCGTCCTTGATGCAGAGGTTGGCGTACTTCTGGTACAGCCCGGCCGCCGTCTTGCAAGACTTCTCCAGCGCTCCTGAGAGACGCACACACGACGACGAGGGCCCAAAAACAAACACATGAGCAAGGAGAAATGGGCCTTGCGTGACACCACTCGACGCACGACGTGCGTTTCTATATGAAACGTTTTTTATCTTTTACCAAGCCACTTCGCAATCGCCTTGAGTAAGACTGACGACCACCACACATTATCGAGGAGGAGAGAGGAAAATGATACCCAACGCCAGGTGCAAGTCTCTCCGGTGCCAGCATGACGCAGACATTAACAACGACCACGACAACGCCACGGGACACGACAACTAAAGTAAACTGGACAGCGCCACAAAAGCAACAGCTTGGACGGTGCAATCTTGGCATCAACCCTTTCCGACAGAAGTAGTCGGGAAGAGCCACGCGCGTCAGGAGCAGGCTTGGGACCACGCGGAAGTGATATTCTTTTTTGGTGCGAACAAATGATAACTATCTGTTCACATTTCACGACGCAACGGCGTCGTCCTTGTTGTACTGCAACTGTTCATGTCCAAAGATGATGCACACGAAGTGGCAACCCATTAATCACGCTCACGACGTACCGGCATCATCCTTTGTTCTGCTGTACGCGGGGAAAGCAAGAGATCTCGCCATCCAGCGTGGTCAACGTGTGAGCGAAATATGCTCGGTGCGCTACAACGTACTCGGCGAACCTACGCTGGCATCACTGATATAAATCATCAGTGTACAGACATCAAAAAGACTCAAAATATGTCCAGTACCCAGCCGGTTTTCCTCCACTCACTGAAAAGACTCCACCACATCCCCTTCGACTGCTGCGGGTACATCTCGAACGGGTAGTCTTTCTGTGTGTGTGTTTATTTTTCCTTAAACCTACAGCGGCTTTCCGCCAACGGTTGGGATACCACGTCCAACTAGAATACATTTGTCTGCCTCACCCTTGAATCCGGCCAGGTGTAGGTCTGCGAGGACCAGGATGGCGTCCATTCCCCCGTTGTCCGCAGACTGCGATGATCCCCAAGAAGGAACAAAAACGTGGGGGGCACGAAAAAAAACAAAAAAAAAACGTGTGTCAAAACTAAAACGATGGCCATCAAGGGGTTTCGTGCAGTGTGCAAGGCACAATACGGGGGACGCGCAAGTGGACCATACCCGCACGTTTCTTCTTGTTCTTCTTGTGTCTGGCTCTTCTTAGCACAAGCCGGTCGGCCAGAAACAGCTCCCGCGGAACACGCAACAAAACACACACAAGTACCTCTGTCATCCAACTCCTGCGCCCCTCTCGCTGTGGGTAGAAATCTTATCCTTGACTAGAAAGTGTTCGCGTTTCTAACCCCGCTGCGCATAAAACGACTGGCGTCTATTCATTGGTCGTCACCCGGTTTTAAACGCGGTCGATACTAACTAAGAAAACACACACACAAGCACGATGGAGGGATATCCACCTATAGCATCCCGTCCCTGGAATTGGCGGGGAACAACACCGGAGGCAAGAGTGAGTGTAACTTGCCCGTCAATTCCCCGTCACAAACTCTACAGTAGTACCTTGCCAGTTGTTGTAGGAGCGACCTCTGTCAACATGTCTACAAAGGAGAGACCGCCAAAACTCCCGCGGGCGGTTGTTTTCCCTCCTCCAGATTGCGCCGCACACCCGCCTTTCTCGCCAAGAGCCAGCTCAACGCCACAACGACACTCCCGCCTCAACCAGAGCCCACTCTCACTCCCCCCACCCCAGCTTTCACAACCTCCCACTCTTCACCAGAGCCGTCAAATCAGACCCCGCCGCTTGCGCGACCTCACCCCCCCTCAGCTTTACAGCTCCATCCGCGGCGTTCTCGCACCGCAGCCCTAGCAGCGTGCGGGTCCACGTACC